GGGGGGGGAAAGTATTCTGCTCGTTCATGTAGATTTTCTGCCAAGAATGACGGGGAATCTAAAGATGGAAGGGCACATAAGCTTAAGTGTTATCCCGTAAGGTCCAAAATCCAAACAAATGAACACGAACCATCACTTAGACGGATTTTTGCTTCGAGGAAGCGAGTGTTGGGATATTTTACATTTAAGTAGCTCTTTCCATCAGAATCGTAGCAGTTACGATTTCTCTAAAAAGGGTTTGGGTAATGAAGTCCAAAACCTCACATTGCTAACCATCCATCACAAGAAGTAAAAATGTAACGCCGAACAATGAAGTTGTAATGCAATAAAAATCTTTCAATTGGGATCAAAGATTGTTCTGTGACAGATATGACACTTTATTTTTGAAGCGAAAGGCTACTGCATAGTGAATCATAGTGTGACAATGAACTTTGCATTGTCCCATTTGCAGACACTAAGGTTAACAGATTTGATCCTTTCTCGGTGTGGAATGAATGACCACAGAAACATTCATAGTATGCAAGTTTTAGCGCTGATGATGTCATCAAAGTGAGGTCAAGTTATGCATTGTTTCAGTCCTTCCAGACTGTCCTCTGAAGTGTAAATTGATTGAATATGACAAATAACGTCATATGTCCCACGTACGGAATTTTCTATTTTGGAAGGGAACGGTCTTTTCTCAAGGGATTTCCTTGGTTCGATGCCCTGGCGTTATTGTTGTGATTCAGGTTTACTATTGGTTCTGTAAATTTATTCAGGCAGATGTTGGGATAATATTCGGACTTCGCTTTATTACCTCTGATTTTATCTCAGCGTATTTCTGAGGGAACTAAGATTGCGAACTCTTATCGGATCGGTACAGATGAGATGGCTTACGTGCTCTTAACGGCGTAAGCTTAATGATAACAATAGACAACCGAAGTGCTTGTAACAAACAATTAATATTCTGATTTTTTATTATTTAGTGTTCTGTCTGACGACAGGTCCATATGAACAGGATCCTTCCATCCTTTTCTCGGACTGGGACCTGTTCATATACGTTCTTGGCAGATGATCCAGAAGTGATTTGCCATTGCCTTCTTCTGTGTGTAAATGGAGTAATTGTTGGGATGCCACAGAGAAACCGGGGAA